GAAAACTATGACACCAAATGTAAACTTCAACAGTGAACCTGGGACATACGAAATGATTACGTGACGCACTTAGTGAGAGGATAGATACCTGTGTGTGGTGTCAGCGCCTTCCATGCTGCTGCTGATAGTCCTGGCCGAGTCTTCTGTCTGTTGCCTCATCATTTCTCTCCGCCGTCGACTTAGTTTCCTTACCCGACGCTCTATGCGAGAGTTTTTACCTAAGGGATGCGTGAAAGTTCTCATTTTACTTTACTGGCATTCTCATCATCATCATCATCAGTTCTCGTTAAGCCTAGTGGCACATTAGGCTTCAGAGAGGACTTTCCATGCTTTCCTGTCCTGTGCAATCTTCAATGCAGTTTTCCATGTCAAAGATGCCGCACTCAGGTCACTTTCCATTGTTCGTCTCCATGTTGTTTTTGGGCGCCCCTGTTTTCTCTTTCCCTCTGGTGTCCACGTGAGAGCTGTTTTGGCAGGTATATCAGAAGTCATTCTCATAACGTGGCCAAGCCATTTCCATCTTCTCTTGGTAATCATACTGTCTAAAGTTTCTTGGTTTGTCGTTTGAAGTAGTTTAGTGTTTAAGATTGTATCTGGAAAGAAAATTGTGATAATTCTACGTAGACATGTGTGGTGGAAGGTGGACAGCTTGTGTGCATCCTTTTTGGTCATTCTCCAGCATTCCGCTTCATAGAAAAGAACAGGAAAAATGATGCTCTTGTAGAGTCGGAGTTTCGTTCCTCTGCAGTAATTGTTGGATTTCTAGATTTGCCTCATCCTTCCAAAAGCAGCTCTAGCTTTGTTCAGACGTGACTGTATGTCTTCCTCTGTCCCTCCCAGTAGGGACACCACACTGCCAAGATACGTGGAATGTTCTACATTTTCAAGTGATTGGTTACTTATGGTCACTGGTTGTTGGTTTGGACTGTTTGTCATGATCTTAGTTTTCTTTGTATTTATTCTCAGTCCCACCATTTCTGCTGTGCAGTTTAGTCTGTTACTTTTCTCCTGTATATGTTCATGTTTATGTGATAGGAGTGCTATATCATCTGCAAAATCAAGGTCCTCAAGCATGGTGTATGGAGTCCATCGTATGCCTCTTAATGTCCTGTCTACTGTGTTCTTTAGTATCCAATCAATCACAAGGTTGAAGAGGAGAGATGACAGAACACATCCCTGTCTTACACCCGTCTTTACTGGGAAAGATGTATTGTAATTTTTTATACTGCAGGAAAAGTCTTTATAGAAGAGAGCAATTATGTTGACTATCTTTTCTGGAATTCCATAATGTTTCCACAGACCGTCTCTATGGAGGCTGTCAAAAGCTTTCTCAAAGTCCACAAAATTAATATATATACTTCTTTGCCATTCGTTGCATTGTTCTAAAATGTTACATGTGGCGAAGATGTGCTCAGTTGTTCCTCTGCCCTTTCTGAATCCTGCTTGTTCCACTCGTAGGCATTTATCAACTCCTTTTTCAAGTCGCATTATGATGATTTTACAAAATATTTTGCTTAGTACTGAGAGTAGAGTAATTCCCCTCCAATTATTGCAGTCCGTTAAGTCTCCTTTTTTGGGGATTTGGACTATTGTTCCTTCAGTCCAGTCATCAGGCAACACTTTTTTTTCCCCAAATATCCTTGAACAATGGTTCTAGAATGCTAGCAGTTGTGTTGGGATCTACTTTGAGAAGTTCTGCTGACAATTCGTCTTTGCCTGGTGCTTTGTTGTTCTTTAAAGCGTGGATTTAAGGATTTCTTGTTTGCTTGGTGGTTCAGTAATAATGGCATTCTATTTTACATTATACATGCATTCAGGTTTGGTTTACGCCGGATACTTCATTAGGAGAATGTGTCTCCTCGAAATAAGAATTCCTTTGACATTTGTGAAATTCTCGGGTGGCCTCTGATTGTTCTCTTATCTTTTCCCTTCTTCCCCTTGTTCTGTCAGTTACATCTAAACACGTCCGGCTGTAGATTTGGCCGTGCCTCTAAATTGGCACAACGCCATGTCGTCCTATTGTTTGCTACGGCATACGAAACACCCCTTTTCTCTCCGTCATGTTAACTTCGCTCTCTAGTTTCTCTGGTTTCCCTATGAAGAACACGACATGTTATGTCTTTCTATGTTGCTTTTACTAAGGCTATCATTTTTAGTTGGATCCTTTATACACTGTCGATTTCCAGGTAGATTCTCTATCAATGTTGTCAAAAGCCTTTTCATAGTTTGTTTGGCCACAAACTTGTCTGTTCATCTTTTAGCTTTTTTTTTTTCTAAAGCATATTTTAGTTTATCGACAATAATCCTACTTAATATTTCCAGGAACTGGCAGCAACATAATTCCTCCGAAGTTCTAACACTTGTACAGATCCCCTTTTTGGAGCAGTTTCACAAGGTATCCTTCTGTCCAGTCAAAGTCTATTGTGAATGACTCCTGCCTTAGAAGCTGTGACTGTTGCTACTGTGTCATAGACTATGTCATGGCAGTTCACTTGTCTCAAAGTGTGTAACAGTAGTAAGTAGGTGGCAGGCGTCTCCTTGTTACTGAGTTTATGATATTAGCCCACTTATGTTAGAATATGTCTTATATTGTCTTAAAGTATGTGATTAACTAGCCCACTTATGTTAGAATTTGTCTTATATTGTCCTAAAGTATGTGATTAGCTAGCCCACTTATGTTAGAATATGTCTTATATTGTCCTAAGGTATGTCATTAGCAGCCCACTTATGATAGAATATGTCTTAAGGGGTCACTACACCAATAATTTTTTTTTTTTTATTTACAGACTTAGAGCAGTTATTTTATAATGGCCATTTGTAGGGATACATTTTATTACATTTGTTTACTTTAAGTGTTAAAAAATCATAGTTGTCATGGCAATAGCCGCCATCTTGTGAAAAAAAAACAATATGTACTTAGAATCCTTAAATTGTAAAAGCAAACATACGTATTCAACATTAGATGATAGATCCATGACCTTTCGTCCTATTTAGAGGTACTGGTCTAGTTTATTTACTTTAAACATGTTTTTAAATATTTTTCGTAGATTTTTAAAATGTAGGTTTATTGAAAAAGTCAAAAAAATCTAGCATCATAAGACAATAATCAAATTTTAGGAACAAAAACTTTCTAAAATCTACTTTTAGATAGACCAGTCCCTATAATATTGTTTATGGAGTAGGCATACAAAATTTGATAATTCTACTCTTCATATTAGCTTAGATTTTAGGATTTCACACACACAGCAAACTGAAATATAAAGATTTGAGAAAACTGACTTTTAAACTTTTTTTTATCTTAAAAAAATGCACGAGGTGGTGTCATTAGTATTAACTTTTCAATGCTAAATAGTTTACAAATGACATATATTTTTTGTGTCATCTATTGTACGAATGCCGAACTTTACAAAAACGAACACATTGAAAAAGTGATATTTTTGTCATAAATTGGGGAAAATGCCGTGTAGTGACCCCTTAAATTGTCCTAGAGTATATGGTTATCTAGCCCACTTATGTTAGAATATGTCTTCTATTGTCTTAAAGTATGTGATTACCCTCCCCCTGCCCCCAGCCAACCTCCTCACGCCAGCCAATGATTTGAATGAACAGTACAATAGATTAAAAAGAAATGCATTTGTCATGTATCATTTTGAATATTCAGTGATGGTTAAGGACAGGTGCTCGTGGAATAATATACCATTGACGTATGTAACAACTGACCAGACACCGACGAAGCATCCGAAGACTGTGAAGAATCATAAGCATCATGCAACGTATTCACGGATGATTGTGATCGAAGTGTCGCCGGCGTAGATGTGTGAGCAGCCTCCTGTGTTGATGTTATCGTAAACAATACGACCAACCTGTAAAACTGCAAGTGATAACAGCAATTACGTCTACATATATTCTAATGTCATGGGAAATGCGGGGGTATAATGTCCATGTATCGCTGTTTACAAACAATACACTAAACCACGGATAGCGGTGGACCCCGGCGTGATCATGGCATGATTTGCAACATGTGACCATTACTTTTGTCACGTGGTTATAGAATATTGGTTGGACATGCTTGCCACGTGAGAATAAATTAGATGCCAGTATCCATAATTAATCAATTCCGATGGCTCTGACTGACAGATTGTTCAAAGTTCATAGTTCATGTTAGAGAGCATATTTATCGCACATCAGACATGACCATAAGTGCTCCGATTTCCTCCTGAGTTTGTCTCCAAGTGTTTTTAGGCTAACAATTCCAATTCTGTTCTGGTTTATGTAACGACGGGTGGCACCAGCTTGGTTTTCCTGTCTCGCGGCTCCAATTGGTACACCAGTGGTATTCAGACTGTCAGTACACAATGGATGATGTGATCAACACGCTGATTTGACATACTTAAATGTAAATCCCTGAAATTTGCATATAAAAACATATATACATATTTACAGCAACCAGTGTGCAGCGAACTGACATACATACAACGTCAATAACACAACATCTGATCTTGACATGGCAGATTATATCTTCTCAACCGTTTCTATTCGTCTCAGCCCTACATTTAGCGACAAGCATGTTTTGTGAACATATACCCCTTACCTGGAGTCTGGCAATAGCACGTATGAGGAATTTTATATCCAAACCACACTACTCTTGTTGTAGGCAACCATGTCGGATGGAATTTATCTTACTTATCTGCACATCTGGCAGTCATGCGCTGGAATCGTCCTCAGTTTTAATGGTTGACACAGTCTGAAACTGATCCCAAGAGTAAACACTACAAGTATGACTTTGATGACATCATCAGTAAATGAGTAAATAAGTCTATAAACCTACTAGGCGATCAGCGTCTACCTGCCAAAGTGAAGAAACTGACTCTGAGATTTGTAATCTTGAAGACTACTATCGACAACTAGCCCCCCCCCCCCCCCCCCCCCCCCCGCCCCCTCCAAACTTCTCACGTTTACCAACTTTTAGAAAAAGGGAGGTGGGTGGGGGGGGGGGAGACTTACCTGTAAAACAAGAACCAGTGTGTTCTTGCAGGTGAAGAAAATATTCGTATAACTGAGAACATCGTATCTGAAAATGAGCAGCATCCGAAGAACAAGAAACGGCGCGTCTTGCAAAAAGACACTGATTAGTATCGAGATGACCTGAAGACAAATAAAACATTCGTTCATACGACAACTTTATTGCTACAATTATGAGTGACAACAGGAAGTTTGTGGTTAGAAAGCAAACGCCACAACAAAGAGTGACTGTCGTCTTTTTCACACTGCCCAGCTGCAAACTCCGGAGGAATGTTCTAGCTGTTCGTCCACCTGCGGAAGTTACAACTCTAGCTTATGTGTATGCATACTGTTGGTTCCTGGCCTCTCAACCATATGGAATCTGGTTTCAAAGCAAGCCCTTAATTAGTCGATTCCTACAAAATGCTTGTTGGGGAGGCTTTCAATGATAAATTTACAAAAACTGACAATGTTGAAGCTTGCCACAAGCAGTCCATCCACATTCGAGAAACAGATACTCTAGGCTTAAATGTCGTAGCAGGAGTCAGATATAAGATAGAAAAAAAAACCCAGTCTGGTGGGGTAGATAGGCCAGGTAAACGGTTGCGGTCAAAAGAACTAACTGAAACCAATTTCAGAAAAAAAGAAAGAAAAAAACAAACTATGCTAGATATTAACACCTGAAAGGATTGGGAGGAGGAGGCAGTGGGGGGGGGGGGGGGGGGGCAGTAGGGGGGGGGGGGGGGGGGGGGAGAGAGAATGAGAGAGAGTGAGAATCCATAAAGAAATAAGAAGCTTTTCAAAAGACTTGCGTTCTCTTTTATTAGAAAGACTATTCATTGGCCGTGACCTCCACTTCGAAACAACGGTCGAGACTTTGAGATTACATTACAAATTGAAAGGCACTGGTATAAGGAACCAAAAGTCCCACTTCCGTTCTTTCTAAACCATCACTGCGAAATGAGCATAAACTGATGGGTAGAAAGGTGTCACGAGGAACCTAACGAATAGGTAAAACCGGTAAGCATCGTATAAAGCATGTGGCCAATACAACTAGCATTTGAGGTGCATTTTTCTAACATAATTTCCCCCTGCATTAGGATGTTTGTATGCAGGCGTTATCCCAGATCCTCGTGACTGATGTCATTGTCCACCTGTCTCGTGGGTTTCGGTGTTATTCACAGGGTATTGTTTGTCCTCTAATACTAAACCAGCAAGACAAACACGTGACACACATCAGCAGATGGACCTGGAGTGGACCTACTGGTAAATCGGTATTTAAAAAATTTCACAGAACAAAAATTTAAGACTAGCACGCAAGGATTGCTTTCGGATAAAGATCAACCAACATTTGGCAGTGGCTAACTCATCGCAGGTAAATGCCATAAAATCCTTACGTCCTTTTTAGGACGTAATTTTTTGTTATTTGAAGCCCCACTCTGGCTTTTGCCAGGGGCCGCAATAGAGGCAGGCCATAAATATGGCCAATTGTCTGAACGCGGTTTCTGGGACCTCTCCACGGTGATCCTCATCCACATGGTGGCGCTTTGTGTCATCGAGTGTTTATCGCTTGTGTGATGTCCTAGTGGGGTAGAAAGTCAGTCAGTCAGTCAGTCAGTGGCTAACTAGATCTAGCCAAACACCTGTCTTCGTGACATATGACAGTCTGTGAAGTTACCATAGAAACCTCCTACCTCTGTAGGGCAGCAGGAATCTCGACCCTTGGTGCGATCTATCGGGGCTATCCTGGTCTTCTTGGCCTTGGTGGCAGTGATCACCAGAGTAAACTGGGCTAAACTGGCTGTCCACAAAGACAGAATAACGATCGTCAGAAATGTGTTTTCACTGACCGCTTTCTCCTACAAAAATGCAGGAATAGAAACCGATAGTCAATCATACAGCTCAAAGATTGTTAGTGGTGCAAAATTCCTATAATGTTGAGACAACAACCTGATGTCAGATAATGACTTTTCTGGCGAAACAACCTAGCCACTGTTATTGTTTACTTGACCTTTTAGACGTATCCGTTCCCTACCCCCCCCCCCCCCCCCCTTTTGCAACCACCCATCCCTTTCCGTTTTTTTTTTCCCAATGGTCTAGTCTCCCAGACAGTGCTAATTTAATTAGTATTTGCCTCAAGTCAAATATTTGTGTTCTTTAGTAGAAATACAAGATTGTATGATATAGTAGTTATCTCTGGCTATTTAATTTCGAATTCTTTGAAAAGTAGTGGGGAAAAAAAACACATAAAATTTGCATTATGTTTTTCAAATGTTCTTCTCCCCCCTCTTCTTCTTTTCTTCTAGTTACCTCAGCAAAATGTGTTAGGTGGGGGTAAGGGGAGAATTAAAAAACGGGGGGGAGGGGGGGGGGGGTGCTCTTTCAAATGAGTTATTTTAGTTAATCTTCCTTTCTGTAAAAACTGTTTTTGACGCCGACCTTCCATCTGTTATATCGTCTTTCCCTTACTCTGTGTTATTTATATTTGTATGTTTTTCAGGTAGGTTTTTCTTCTTCTTTTTCTTCTTCTTCTTTTCTTCTTCTACTTCTTCTTCTTCTTCTTCTTCTTCTTCTTCTTCTTCTTCTTCTTCTTCTTCTTCTTCTTCTTCTTCTTCTTCTTCTTCTTCTTCTTCTTCTTCTTCTTCTTTTTCTTCTTCTTCTTCTTCTTCTTCTACTTCTTCTTCTTCTTCTTCTTCTTCTTCTTCTTCTTCTTTCTTCTTCTTCTTCTTCTTCTTCTTCTTCTTCTTCTTCTTCTCTTCTTCTTCTTCTTCTTCTTCTTCTTCTTCTTCTTCTTCTTCTTCTTCTTCTTCTTCTTCTTCTTCTTCTTCTTCTTCTTCTTCTTCTTCTTCTTCTTCTTCTTCTTCTTCTTCTTCTTCTTCTTCTTCTTCTTCTCTTTCTTCTTCTTCTTCTTCTTCTTCTTCTTCTTCTTCTTCTTCTTCTTCTTCTTCTTCTTCTTCTTCTTCTTCTTCTTCTTCTTCTTCTTCTTCTTCTTCTTCTTCTTCTTCTTCTTCTTCTTCTATTTCTTCTTCTTCTCTGCCACCTAGTACCTCATCGAAGTGTCGGAGGGAGATATAGTATTCGTTGATGAGCTCTGTCAAGAGCACTATTAAGACTGATGTTAATTTCTGTAAGGCTGTTCTTATTAATATCACTCTATATTTTCCGGGGTCTTTCACTCGCTTTAGAGCACATTGTAACGTTTTAGTGTGGCTCGCTGTGGCAGATAGTACCAAGGCATTCTTGTTAGGTGTATAAACCACTTCATGTGTTTTTCTTTGATGATTTGTAAGAATGGCTTTGTTTCTAGCATTAGTCTATTTCGTGGTTTCGTATTGTCTTTCCTTGAAACTCCTTCAGCTCTTCTAAAGCATTTCATTTCTGTTATCACAATTGTACGTTCATTGGAGGATGTACGTGTCCACGTTTGGCACTGATAGCAGAGTGTTGCAAAAAAAAGTTATGATAAGATATACTTTAGTACTCCATGGTATCTGCTTGTGTGTTAACAGGGGAGATAGTTGCCCCATTACTTCACTAGCTTTGGCCACATCTCGAGCTGTTTTCTCTGTCCAGTTTTGCGTCGTTTGTAAAAATTGCTGCCAAATACTGAAATTCCTCTGTATGTCTTGAGATGTTATTTTTTAATTTTATTTCTAAATTGTCTTTCTATCTTTCCATTACCATTGCCTCTGTCGTTGTAGTGTTTATTTTTAAAATAATATCCGTCCCCTTTGTTACTAATTTGATTTGGGTGTTTCTGTTGGCATTCCGTACTTGTTGCTATGAGTATCTGTTCGTCGGCGAATAGTAAGTGTAATATATTCTTACTGATTAAAGCTCGTTTCCTAACATATGGTATTCATGTATGTTATAAAAAGAAGCGGCGATAGTACACAGCCCTGACGCACATCATAGTTTACTACTACAAAAGTTCTTGACAATTCCGTCTTAGATTTTATGCAGCATTTACTACGTGTATAGGTTCTTCATTAATTCCTATAATAGTTTAATCCTAAAATAATAGTGAGCAAAACAATTAGGAACGCGTTAAAAATCATGGAGCATTTGTCAATAAAAGCAGGTCAGTGATCAGGTTATAGTTTGACATAAGAAAGAGTTATGTAGTATGCGCTCTATTATAGAAACATTGATATCTTCGTCGGTACTTCCCAGCCATTGCGCTGCATTTTGTAAATACTATAAGTGGATATAAGACACTGGTTAACTTTTTAAAATATATATACTAAATACCATTTGTTGATGAGCTCTGTCAAATTACAGATGTAGGAACAGCCAGACCAGTAATACGGCAAGCCATTATGCTATCCTCCTGCTGTGTTTCAAGCTGTACTATGATGACCATCATGTCTTTGCGCAGCTCTCTGGGTTGTGATGTACTAATTAGGCGCTCCGATACACGTGTTATCACTTGTAAATACCATGATGCCAGAGTATATAACATACTTCTTTGTTGTTGTTTTGTGTGTGTGTAGGGAACGGTCCTCACTTCTCATAGCTTCACCTTAATGTTCCTGCTGTAGAAGTATACTACAATTGTTTCCTATCTCATGCTGCTACCCAATCATAATCCTTTAAGTGCCGTTTGTCGTCACATAGGGCTCGCATTCGATTCCTCCACTCCTATTGCATGCAACTTTCTCGATTTCTGACATGGAGTTCAGTCCAGCATTTGTTAGCCTCTGATAATAACGTTCTTGTTAATGTCTCTTAGATGTCCTTTGTTTCTCAGACCGTTTCCCATTTCAGTTCCTGTATTATAATTCTTTGCTCATTTTTTCTCAAAATGTTCCCAGTATATCTACATTTTCTTTGTTTTACTGAGTCGATACAGGTATTTGTCCCGACATTTCTCTGATCTCCTCGCACTTTTTTGATTTCATAACAATTTTATGTTCAAGTGCTTTCTCATATTTTTTTTTTCAAATGCACGTAACTTCATTCAGTATCTTTGGCGGTTCTCCAACTTTCGCTGGCATGTATTCGAAGTGAAATAACGTTAGAATTCAAGATTCATAGTTTGGACCAACAGCTGTATAACTTGGAAATGGTTGAGAGCACCACTTTGCCTGACTGATGGGGCTCTGTATTGTAAACAGTGGAAGCTAATACTCCTTTTAAAATCAATAACCGAAGAGTTTAAAGTTGGCAAAGTAAGACTCGTGATGATGCTGCGCGAGTCTTCAGACCCCACTGTCACTGTTGTCCAGTCCGCTCTAATGACAGGGGTGAAATGGAAAGTCCTAGATGCAGTCGAATCTGCCCAAGATGGACTGAAATTGAGAGAAGAGATGGGTTACACTCAACCCGACCGTCGATGCCTAAGGCACGGGAAAGTCCGTTGGTGGTTCAAAGCGACAGCCAAAGAGCGCCGAGACATGGTAATATAGCAAATAAAAGACACCGAAAATGAGGTTCAGGTCCAAAAAGCAGCACAACAGTCGCAGCAAGGCCAGTGGATCAGCCTCGAGAGCGCCTTGCCAAGAGTACTCTGATGGGGTGAGATCTGGAGAATGGCACCGCTGCGACTGAGGTTTATCGTTAGATTTGCTTACGATGTATTACCGTCCGGTGTCAACATGGTCATATTGAGTGCGACTAACAACCCGACATGCCCACTGTGAAGAACTAAGCAGACACTCGAGAACGTATTGTCCACGTGCAGAAAAGCGCTAGGTCAGGGTAGATACACATGGCGCCACAACAAGGTACTGAAAGAGTTAGCGGTCGTTGTGGACCAAGCTAGGATGAGGGCCAATGCGAGGGCCAGTCCTACCGTTGTCCCCACGCGCTTCCTCAAGGTTGGACAGATTTATAAAGGTAAATTCAACAAGGTCGCATACGCTCCATCGATGCTTGACTGTATGAGGGACTGGCTACTGGCGGTTGACCTGCCTGGTCACGAAAAGTACCCAGAGTTAATCTGGAAGACCGGCCTGCGACCCGACATAGTCCTACCCTCCGCGGAGAAACGTCAGCTCATCCTGATCGAGCTGACCGTGCCGTATGAGTCGCGAATGGACGTGAGTCATATGTATAAGCTCGAGAAATACAGTGACCCCGCGGCTGATCTGTGGAGAGACGAAGCGTACACAGTAAGAATCTTCGCTGTCGAGGTAGGCCATGGAGGTCTTGTTTCCACTTCTTTGTACAATGTGATAAAACAACTGGGCTTGCCAGGAAACGAGCGCAAAAGATCACTAAAACAAACTGGTCGTGGCTGCTGAAAGGGCATCGAGCTGGCTCTGGACACAACGAAACGTCGTGGGGGGACGGGCCTCGGTGAATGTTGGTCAGGGTGTCTAGTGGAAAAGAGCGTCTCATCCCTTAATAGTAACAAAATCTACCATGTGTCCGACAAACCAAACGTAAGTGTGCCACTTGGTCGTCCAGGTATGCTGACTGCTCTAATATGCTGTCGCAGCGACTATGTAAAAAAAAAAAAAAACTTCGAATCTCACAGTACCAGTTGCATAGTCACAAATATCGTCTTGTCCCTGTCCGAGAACATCCAGTAATCCGTGCAGCAGGAGCAGATCAAGCCTGAGCTTTATGAACTCAGGTAGGCCTATTCTCTGAGATTGTCTAGGAGCTCGTTGGCGGAAACAATTGCGGACGAGGAATCACTTTTAATGATGATTGGTAATCTCCTGCTGTACATACTACCCTGTGGAGTTTCTTCTAATTAGAGCTCCATGTCTTTCTTATGACTTTCAAAGATTGTTGTTGCTTTGCCAATGCTTATCAAAACTTCCTTCAATGAATCTGCTTGAGAGTCAAAATTTCTATTCAAATTAAATCAATTCAGGTGAAAAGGTCAGTTATTTTTATTGGTTTCTTCTCTGGCATGACATCTACATGATCTGTTGTCGGTATCCTTAATATATTTTTTTTCTCTTAACTTATTCTTGTAGTTCTACTGGTAATGCAGTAGACAAATTTGCATGCCGTTGTTATGTTTACTAAACAGAACAATACCATCTGTGCGGTCCAAATCTTCCAGTTTTCTGTTCTGTACCTAATCAATGTCATTATTGTCTTTGTAACATTTTTTCATTACCCAATCAATTGCTACTCCAAACAAGGGAGATATAATGCAGCCTTAGTTCACTTCAGTTTCCACCAAATACCAGTTGCTCAGACCATTTGCAGTGAGCACTGCGCATTTCGAACCACCGTATACATGTCTGATGATGCGTATTATTTTAGCTGGTAATGCCGCAGCATTCTAAAATTCTATCTAAGCTGCTAAACGCCTTCTTGAAATCAATACAATTCAGGATGAGAGGTTGATGCTTCTGTGTTCTTCTCGAATGTTTCAGGGTCAAAACAACTTCTTTCAGTGGGAAAACCAGCTTGTTCTTTTCTCATAATTGTATCAACTATCTGATTATACTGAGAAAAAGGTTTTTGAGAAAATGGATAAAAAGGTAATTCCTCTCTAGTTTTTGAAGTCAATAAACAGTTCTAGCGCTTGATGGACAGTTTTCTCATCTGCTCATTTGAGCATTTCTGCTGTAATATTATTACCAGCCGCCGTCTTGTTATTTGCTAGCGAATGTTTTGCCATTCTGATTTCCGTAACAATAATCTGCCCTAATTTATGGGAAGTGGGTCATTTTAGCCTCTTCTTCAAATGTCCTAAAGTCTAGTGGGTCAGGCCTATTTAATGTCTGATTGAAATGTTCTGCCTATATTTTCCTCTGCTTAGCATCAGATGTGAGCATTATACCAACTTTACTTTTAATTGGACCACCTCGTGGTTTGAATGTTCCAGTTAGTTGTTTTATATATTGTAAAGCATGTTGCTGTTTCTAAATTTCGCAGACGGTTCAACTTGTTCAACCCGTTTATCAACATATGCTCTTTTATCTTCTCCGGCAACACTTTTTACTTGTTTTTCTCTTTTTCTTTTATCGTCTTTAGCTTTAATTTCATCATGTGTGGTCAAAGCATTGTCTATCGCAAGTTTTCATCTACCCAATGAATGTGGAATTATTTACTTAAGGCATGGCAATAGATACACATAAGTAGCTATTCGTGAAACTTGCACAAATGACAGTTATATTATAGTAAAAGAAGATATTTATTCACAATCTATTAGAAAATATTTTTTCAGATTTTCTATTTCCATTGAGTCATTGCAATGCTATCATTCGCCTGTTAACGGGTACTAAATCCGTATTTTGGAATGAACATGGGTATCGTTGACCAAACACATTTTGGAGATGATAACACTTCATATTCTCTGCTCTCTTGTCCCAGTCTGAGATCTTCTAACAGCGTATTTTCAAGGACAGCTGCTCGTGCGGACTTCTCTGTTGCTAGGTGGAGGGACATTTTCAATCTGCGTAGCGAAGTTGTTACCACAAACACGCCAGCATTAGACTACTGTACTGATGTAGAACTACTTGTCTGTCTTCCGTGAAGACGCATTTAGTTCCATTATTTTCGTCATGGCTTCATGTGCGCAGTGGTACTTCACTTTCTGTGAGTGTGTGTGCGCGCGCGCGGCCTAGATGTTCATACATCATTATATCTGGCTTGCTGTCTTTTCCTATTTCATAAAAAAATTCTCTCTCTCTCTCTCTCTCTCTCTCTCTCTCTCTCTCTCTCTCTCTCTCTCTCTCTCTCTCTCTCTCTCTCTCTCTCTCTCTCTCTCTCTCTCTTGTTATACTCCACCAGGATATCACACTAGTGATAAATACCCGGTGACAACAAGTGTCACTATGCGGATGAAGATCACTCATGGAGAGGTCCCATAAACTCCTTTTAGCCATTTGCCATAATTATGGCCCGGCTTCATGCATGGGGGAGTCACCGTGGCCGAGCGGCTAGACGCTCGCCGCGGATCAGAAGGTCGTGGGTACGCTCCCTGGCGGAGCCAGACTTTTTCAAAAATGACTTCGGCTCCCAGGTCGTCCCAGCTTTTAGTGGGTACTGGGTGTAGTCCCGGGAAAGTAAAGGCGGCCGGCGTGATGCTGACCACATCACCCGTCTTGTGCCGAGTGGTCTATAAAAATACAGGTCTAGCCCTATATGCCTTATACGCCTAAAAGGCGTGGAAAGGGTCCTTTTTTTTATATGCATGGCCCCAGGCAAAAGCGAGGGTGGGGCTCGAAAAAAAACGAAAAATTGCATCCACAATTAGACGACTTCCAAAAAAAAAAGTCCTTTAAAAAAAAAATCCTTGTTACTTAATATACGTTATGGAAACAATATTTCCAGTGAGTGAGCTTCTACTTTCCATAAAGTCTAGCCATGTATTAAAAACAATAATATTAGAAATAACACGATTTCATTATGTTAAAAACGGCAAGCAACCATAATTACAATCCAGTATAATTCTCCTAGTAATAATTACACCTGTCAATGCCGACCTTGAAAGCTTCAAACAGTTCGATGATATCCGCTGCCATTCCGATGTAGACCAGCAACAACTGTGACAGTTGTTCTCTAGTTATTTCCCCTTTCGGCAGCAACCACCTTCCAATGATCAGTATGAGTAACAGCAGCTGCTCTAGGATCTTGCACCACTCCTGCGAGCCCAGTGAGATAGCGAAGCGAATCTGAAACATTCCAGTTTAGGACAGTTTCAAACATACTTTGTCTAAGTCCCTAAATGAGGTGCATAATAATAGCAGTCCCATTCCATAGATAAAACATAAAAACATTTGAACCATCCGGTTAAATAAATTTTTTGAAAAAGCAATAGTAGCTGTCGTCGTTGTTGCAGAAAACAATAACACAATATTTAAAAAAAATAGAAAGAAAACTGGCATAAAGCGAAAAAAACTTTAGTGTCATAAGCTAAAGTTAAATGTGTACGCAGAATAATAATGAGAAGAGTTCCACAGGGGAGCAGGCACAGCAGGGGTCCACTGATCATCTGTAGAATGATGCTTCGTCGACAATTGTTTCGGCCCATTACTTCCTATACAATCTTGGAAGGCTGGGGCGACCTCTGTCATAAAGCTAGGCCTCGATCTTTCCCTACTGCAAATTATCGGTCTCTCTGACAGGCTCAAGACGAAATGGTGACTTTGCATTGCTAGATTTGTGTTATATTTGTCGCTGAGATAGAAAATTTGCCGTCAACCTTCACGACCAGAGTAACAAGCTTAAGTTTGGTTAATCAGACAGGTGTTATACTGGTATTTGGCAGAGAGACACTGGCAGACACTTCTCAGGCACTTGGGCATTAAGGATAAGAAGCTCCTTACCACTGTGTACTCAAACCAGTCTACAGAGATCTATCCCCCACTACATCCCGTAGCGTCCACAGCCAGATCGAAGCTCTGTCTGCTTCTTTTCCCAGTTGTTTTAGTGACCGTTGACGCTCGTTTCCTGTCAAGTCCAGCTGCTTTAGCACATTGTATGTGGAAGTGGAGACAGGACCGCTTGCGCATACCTCAACAGCGAAGATTTTAAATGTGTATGCTTCGTCTCTCCGCAGACCGGCCACGAGCTCACCCTGCTTTTCGAGCTTGTACAGGTGATTTTTTACCATACGCGACTCGTACGGCACGATCAGCTATATCATGACCAGCTGGAGTTTTCCGTATAGAGTAGATCTATGTCTGGTCTCAAGCCGGTTTTACTGATTGACTCTGGGTACTTTTTAAAACCAGGTAGGTCGACAGCCAGTAACCAGTCCCGCGCACAGTCAAGCATAGACAGAGCGTATCCGACCGTGTTGACTTTACCTTGAGAAGCCACGCAAAAGCGCATGGGGGCGACGGTAGAACTGACCCTTGCATTGGTCCTCATCCTTGCTTGGTCCACAATGTCCGCTAACTCTTTCAGGACTTTGTTGTGGCGCTAAGTGTATCTTCCCTGACAAAGGGCTTTTCTGCACTTTGACGATACGTTCTCGGGCGTCTGCTAAGGCTTTGCACAGTGGGTAACATCGTACGCAGATAGTACGACAAAGCTCAGCCACAGTGGGGTCATTCGCCAGATCTCATCCCCATGTGAGCATTCTTTAGCCGTGGCTTTGGACCACCAATTGACTTTCCCATGCCCTAGCCTGCGTCAGTCGGTTTGTGTGTAACCCATGACTTCCTTTAATTTCAGTGTTTCCTGAGCAGATTCTATCTCATCTAGGACCAACTATTTCGTACATGTCTTAAGGACGGGCTGGACATCTGTTAAAGTGGAGTCTAAAGACTCGCGCAGCATCGTCACGAGTCTTACCTTGCCGACTTTACACTCTTCGGTTATTGATTTGAACTGAAGTATTAACTCAGCCTGTTTGCAATGGAGAACTACATCGATCAGACAAGGTCGTGCTCCAAGCCATTTTCTCATGACTGTGTGGATTTTTTTCTCCCCATTCTCCACTGCAGTAATGCTCGCCTCTTACACGAGCAGTGGCAAGAGGAGCTTTGGAATCAACATGAACTGGAGACACCAGACCTTGAACTTCCCAGTCAGCCTGCATCGCTTGATAGCATGCACGCCTGTTGCCAGTGACTCATGCATACGTCATTGCTCCACTCAGATAACTTCAAATCGTAGACGTAACCTAGGCTCTTCACCGGTTCCTCCAGAACCGTGGAGATCCTTTTACCTATCATCGTGAAACTGTTTGCCGCGACTTTACCTTTAATGACTGAGGTTTAAGGTTTGAACAACTAACAAGAGAGTTTTTACGGCGCAACATAGGACATAGACGTCCAGTCTCACTGCCCAGAGACCAGGGCGAATTACTAGGTCCAGCTCAACATAAAAAATCCCAGACCTTACCGGGGATTAAACCCTAAACTCTAGCGATCGAGGCGAAAACCATGCCTTGAGACCACGCAGGTCCCCTTGCCATAACAGCTTATGGGATACACCCAAAGGCGTTGTCAAGGTCCAGCCATATCACATGCAATTAGATTTTCTCTGCCTTAGCTCTCTATATACTCTGCGTGATTATGGTCGCTGGCTCAATTCACCCAGGAACGCCCGAAATTCCACCTTTCTGAACCGTTGTGTCAATATATTAGCTCGCCATCAAATACTGTGTGAGCCTGCGTGCCATAATTGAGAAGAATATCTTGCCCTCAACGTTCAACAGCGAGATAGGTCTGAATTGGGATAGACTGGAGGCGTGCTGCTCCTTGGGAATGTAGACTCCGTTGGCTTTCTGACATTCCGTACATAGGTGCTTTCAGCTCCACGCTAATCTTAGCAAGGATGAAGCATTCAGGGGACTTTCGGACAGCGTTTATACACCACGTACGGTACCCCCTTGGGTCCTAGGGAAGATTTGCCGCTGGCTCTCTTCACAACTACTTCAACCTTAGACTAAGAGGTATGCATCGTTTTAAACGGTGCCTTTAGAAACTCAAGCCGCTTTAGTCCTCTGGTGATCTCTGGGTTGTCATCTAGAGGTTTATTTATTCATTTTCGATCGCAGTAAATCTTCAGTTAATGTGACTCCAGCTCATCTTTACCAAACACTCAAGTCCCAGACTTTGGTTGCTCGAACAGGCCTCTGGCAAACTGGAACTCGTTCCTGAAAAACATTTCTCGCTCCCTTTTGGTTCTCCGTCTGTTCTTGCAGAAACGCTCAGTGCGACAGCGTGCATTGCGTCTGCTCGTCGGGTGTAGACAGGCATCGTACAGTCCCTCCCGTTCGCTGCCTGAATCGGCTTTGAACCGTTTTCTGAGTGCTTTCTTGTCTGCTGGCACTTCTCGATGTCTCCATACCTCCTGCTTTGTTTTCGTGCTTGACGCCTGACTTCCTCTTCTCGACCGTCCCCAACTCGCCGGCTCAGTGATTGTAGATTATGTCATCAAACCTTCTTAGCCTGTCACCTAGCGACTTTTTCTTAAGTTCACCGAGAATTTTCCCGAAAAGTATACATTCTATTGTGCACCGTGACACCCTATCGTCTGTGAGTGGAACCTTAATCTTCATCCGCACTTCGTCGGATATCTGCAAAGGTGCCCCTCTGTGATAGACGTCTAGGGCTCTCAGGGCGATTGGGGTTAACCCGTCGCTCTCTGACAAATAGTAGATGTGACAGTAGTAAATGTGACATTTGTAGATCTTGTAATAGTAGTGTTTTCGGGGAAAGTAGTAAATGTAGCAGTAGTAGATGAAATAAAAATTAGTCTAGGTTCTAACGTGGCTGCAGTCAAGGAATGCCATAACTGGTGCGATTATGTGCAAGTGGAAATCCCACAACAAGGCCTTTACTGTCCCATTTTAAAACTAGTGAAAAATACGACAAAATCGCCAGGCTTTCAAATGCACAGTAAAGGTAGTTTTCAGATGTGCCAACATTAACAGTTCTATACTAGAATTACAGCTTACAGTTGGTGCACACGTTTAATCACGAAAGCAGGCATTACAAGCTATTTCAGTCGAGTTGATAAAATACAACGTAGACAAAGTCTATCGAACAAGGAAAACACACTACATGAAATCCAGAGCTCACAGTATCGCACTAAGTGCTCAACTCAGTAGCTGGGCGTGTAAACTTTTGTATTGCTGGTCAAGAATTAGATCATTAGTATCAGCAAAACTTAGATGAAAAACAAAAACCTTTAGAAAGCATCAGTGGTAGGTCGCTTATCTGTCATTTTGGGCCAAAAATAGTAGATGTAAAAGTAGTAGTTGGAAATGCAAATAGTAGACGAGACTTAGGCCAGTCATAGAAACACAGCTGGCAGAAGGAGAACAGTTAGTTATTTGGCGAAGTAAAAGTTGCACTGATGATATATTCAAACTTAAATGGATAATAGACAAGAACATTGAATTCGATACGATCTTATGTGTGGCATTAGTAGACCAGGAGAAGGCTTTCGACGGATTCGATAAATACGGAGTATGGAAAGTACTGACTCGATGTGGAGTACGCGAACCCCAACTTCATCGGCGTGCACAAAAGTGTATACATGGATTGTAGAAGCGTAGTTACAGATAAATCGGAGAAATCTAAACTATTCACAGTAATATCTGGAATAAGACTGTGTCGTGACTTGCCTCTACTGCTGTTTATTACCTACATTGATAGTATGTGCATGGATGACAAGAACAAGAAAGTAAGTATTAGTAACATAAATGAATTAATCTTTGCGGATGACCAGATCTTGATAGTAGATTAAACGATAAAATTGTGCTAGCATTTTACAGTCTTGAATAATGAAAAAAAAAAAAACACACACACACACATAACACTGCATAAAACAGAACTAATGGCAACAGCGAGAAAGACACAGAATCTAAATATAGAAGCAGAATAGACAGGATTTGAACAGGCATCATTGTTAAAATATTTTTATATATTAGAAGAACAACATTCATCGAAAATGGTAAACTGAAAGAGGAAATTATCATATGATGTAGTAAACTAACCCAAGCATAAGAACAGCTAGCTGCTCCCTTTTACCTCGACTCACCTACGATTTTTCCCTGCTCACATAAAAAGACAATCATGATTAGCACAAAGAAGGATCTCTTGCAAAGATATGCATTCCTAACGTATGTTACCAGGGTCAGATATGATAACACAACAAACCATGGAAAAACAATAGTAACCATGGAAATAAGTTGTTTGAGAAGGGCTGCAGA